CCCTGGCTCTAGGTAGCAACTTTGATTTCCCTGTTGGTACTGTGGCTCTTTCATGATTGTGAATATGGGTATTTCACCAGAGTTTGTAGGCCGTAGGGTAGATAATCAGAAGCTTTTGGTGTTTTCAGAGGCAAAGGACAGATTCTGATAATTTATAGAGGGGTGAAAGCTAACGTTCATAGGCATAGAATTCCAAGGAGAGTTTGGCTTTTCAGTCATTACTTCTTGCTACAGCAGTATCTAAAGTATTCTCTACAGCTTGCAGTTATATATATTCACACAAGCCCTGTCCCAGTACAGGTTTGAGGCCTGGCAGTTTCCCAGATTGTGGTTGTGTTGCCTCAAACATCCAAGGTACAAGGTACAGCAAGAGCCACTGTTGACTTGGTGGCTGAGGCAGCACCATGCTGCTTCTGCAGTGGAGTCTGGGGCTCTGAAGTTACCCCTGTAGCCATCCCCAGCATGTGCATCCATCCCTGCCACAGGACACGTGTCAGCTCCTGCTTCAAAATCTCATTAAGGACCGTCTGGGCATTGTCTGATCCAGAAGGACTTGTTTGGATTATTTAGCTCTGCTGTGAGGATCCTGCAGTATAATGTTTCAGCTGAAGTTTGGTGCCTTTACACTTCCTTTGCATGCAAAGCAAGAGAATACTTTGAGAAGGATTAGGAGGATTAACTGACTTCGCTGAGGGAACTGCTTAAATAATCCACTGTCACCTTCAGGTGAAGAAAGTGCTTGTGTGGCAACCAACAGGCAACCTCAAAATAGACACAGCTAATGAAACTGGACTAAACAAGAACAACAAAACACCCCTGTAAATGACAAAAAAAAGCCTATTTTTCTTCGCCTGAAAAAATGTCTTCACATAGAAGCATTTAAATGCTCCAGAGGAGGGACTTTCACTTGAGTACTCTTCTGAGAGCTGACACCTATGTGAAGTTGGAGGAACTGGGACAACAGAAGGGAAGCTCATCAGTGCCAGTGGCTTTTAGATCCCAACCCCTTTCCTGCTAGTGGCAAAACATTAGTATTAAAACCAATGTACAACTCTGGGGAGTGGCCATTCCCTACACCCACAGCTGAGCTACCCAGAGGAGAGGAGCCATGCTGCAGCATCCCATCAAGTATTTAAGTGCATGTCTAGCTGTACTTGAGGCAGCTGCTGATTCAGGAATAGCTCTTCCCACTTCGAGTTGAATGTACTTGAGGAGCTCTGCTGAATCAGGCCACATGCAAATTGTCATGCAGACATGTTATATTCAAATAGTGACCTTCCTAACAAAATGATGGATCTGGTCTTATTCTGGACATTTGAGATTTTGCCACTGACCCATAAAGGGACTTTCTGTAGTCCAAGAAATATCAAGGAAATGCAAATACAGCTGAAGTCTCATCAGTTTCAACATTTCAAAACCTTTTTCCATTTCATTAGCTGGAAGCTGCTGTGGGCACTACATGAAATGGTAATGATGAGCATGTAGGCTTTGCTCTGTATGTAGCATGAAAACACCAGGCGTAAACAAGGAAAATCAGAGAAGAAAGAAGACCACTTGGGTTCTGAGCACTCTTACCAGTGAGCTCTCAGGCTTGATGACCGGGACCTCGGTGATTATGAACAACCAAGACTGCAGCCAGCAGTGCGAAATGTTAGCCCCATGGTATCATGTACTCAGTCAATTTAGACTGTTTGGGACTGAGTGTTCTCTATGTAGTGACAATGCTTAGTACTGTGTAAGAATTACGCATTAGCAAGTGTTGTTAATGAATAAATTTAGACAATTTTGATCTAAAGTTTAAAGTTGGTATGATTTGCCAGTCTTCTAAACACTCCCATCAGTGGCCTGTAAGTGATGTAATGAAAGATATACAGGCAGGACCTACCCAAGCTAAAAATGTATCTTGTGTCTGCTATATATAGGTAAAATTTTATTCCTACATTAAAAGCTGCAGTACAGCCAGTGGCTACTTATGTACTTAACAGTGATATTACTGCCTTTTGATTTAAGGACCTGGAAAGAACATTTGCTTCAAAGGTGAAACACAAATGGCTGGGTCAGGAGGTAATTTGCCTGATGGGTTTGCACCTTAGGAGTCCTATTTTCAAGCTCTTCTAACTACAGTAGATGCGTATTCACTTTTCAGTTAAAACGGAGTGTTCTTTTTCGCTAAGGTGCTTCCAGGTGTGGAGCTGAAAGGAGAAATTCAAAGATACTGTGAAAATCCTTATAAATCACAAGACTTGGCAAGTCTACTCTAATTAAAATCCCAAGTTCTTAAAGACCAGCTTTTGACCAGTAATGGGAGCCCAACCCATTTTTAACCTGTTTTAATAAGGGCAAGGAATTAAATCAGTCCACTGACTCAGTTGAGTTTCGAGGCAAGTGCTCAGACTCACAATTAAGGCAGCTCTCTGTCATTTCAGGTTCAGCTAAGCCTCAGTCTTTTACGCTGAGAGTGTAGGAGAGGAGATAGATCAGGCTCCTCATGTTGCCCTGCCTACCAGCTTTATCTGGACAACTCCTTTCGGTGCATTATTTTCTTCTCATCTTCTGAAATGAAGAGCAGAAGGGGTTTATTGTGATCAGAATGAGCTCTGTGCTGCTAAAGGCATTCTGATTTTGATTCCTCCATCAAGGTGGCTGTAAACAACTGTAGTATGTCTGCCTTCATAATGAAAAAGAGAGGGAAGTTATATGGAAAAGATGCTATGCCTATTTAAAAGGCCAGCTCAAGCTATAATTAGGCAGTGCTCAACTGGATGTGGAGGAGGTCCCTGAGCTGTAATGTAATACATGTGTGAAATAGAGTAGAAACAAATTTATAATGCCAACCAAAAGAAAAGCAAATAAAATATGGAATAAAAATTGGGCAGTTAAACAAAAATAAATGCAGGATTAAAATCTGCAGGGATTTACTACCCACATTTTACCCCAAACCTTCTTTTCAGCCTACAAATGAAGTCCCTCCATGTCTGAATGTTTGAATGTTTCCATCCTAGGAAAGGAGAGAGGAGAGAGCACAGACAGAGGAGAAAGCAGTGGCTTTGGGGGAGCCAGGACCCTGATGAGGTGCCCTGCAACACCACAGACACCTTGGCAGAAGCACAGCCACCCTCAGGAGTCAGGAGCCTCCCAGAGCTGCAGGGCCACCTCCACTGCCCAACCCCATCCACCTCTGCTGCTCCTCATCCCTCTTTTCCAGCCAGCAGCACTACAAGAGCAGCCTACTGCATTTCCAGGAGTCAAGCACCCAGGTGGCACAACCTGAGCATCCCTCTGGGGTCTGGCAAACCAGACAGTGCCACTGTGACTGGAGTCACCCCCCTCACACATATAGTGTGTTTTCTTACAAGCACTAAGCACTTAACAAGTTGCAACTTCCTTTTTAGTCCCATTAACTATTTAGTTTTACCTTGGGATACATAAATAAAGGCATCCCTAAGCTGTACCACTGCCTTATTTCTGCCAGGCGCTCAGGAAGGCTCATGGTAACTCCCCCTCCAAAAGGGAGGACTCCAGCCACTGACAGCATATGGAGCAAAACACATTTGATAAGAATGGAGATGAACCAAAAGAACAGGGGGTTGGAGGCTAAATCAGCCCCATTCGTTTCATCTTGCTGATTCATCATAATATTGATTTCTGATTGCAGTGGGGGCTGTGTTTATGAGTACCAATTGTAACTCGACCTACTTACGCTTTCTTGGTCTAAGAATAGTGTGTTCAGGCTGCCACTGTCTGCCAGGACTGGCAGCTGTTTCTGAGATCACTATCAGACATACTTTAAAGGGTGTTTTCCACTTAAGGAGATCTACAAGATGCCTTTTGCCTTTTTTAGGTTTCACTTATTGACGGAGGGAAAAAATGTTCATTTCAAAGCAATTCTGACCTAAAAACAGCCTTGCAAAAAGCCACCACTCTCTCCCTGCAGCACTGCTCAGCATCTCCCTGCCCACCTTTTCGTGGTACTTGGGATTCAGCTCTCACTGGCTAACCACAGCCCTGGTTTTACACCCATCTTTCCCTTACTCTTTTCTAGGGTTCCCCCTTCAGTCTAATGTATTCTTTCCAGAGACCAAGTACACTGTGGGGGTTCTGATGACAGATGATAAATATCTTTGACATTTTTTCTTTTTATTTCTAACTATATTTTTTCCTACCTTTGGGATTATAGAGCACCTTCCAGGTAAGAGCTGTCAGATTTCCCTTCTTCAGAAACACTTGCAATTTACAAAAAATGACACTGAAAAATAACCAATTGCAAAGATTAGGTGTTATGGGAGGTGGCAGAGGGCACAGAATAAGGCTTGGATTCCTATTTTAAGGATAGAAAAGGAGGAATCTCAGCTCCTTCTCAGTTGAAGGGTGGTGAAGTCCATGCAGTTCCCTCAGTGCATTAACCCAGGAGTGTAAGGAAGGCCACAAAGCAGAGGCCGGAGTGCCCCTGGCTCTGTGGGCTGCCACGCTGGGCAGGCTGCAGCACTGCCCTGGCTTATGCCATGGCTGCAGGCTCCAGGCTGTGTGGCTGGTTGGACTCTCCACAAGCCGTACCCCTGCAGCATGCCCCTCCATGGCACCATGGACCCAACAGCTCTCCCCATGCACCACAGAGCCAGATCCGCATGGGGAGCTGAGCAGGCACAGCAACAGCCAGGGCTGCTGGAGACTAAGCCTCTGGAGGAGTTATCACCAGGGCTTGCAAGGTGCAGACAGCCCGTGCACAAGTGCTAAGCTGCAGCCTTCTGCAACAAGTCTCCAAGCCCCAGTGAGGGCAAGGCCAGGCATGAGGCTGCAGCAATGATTGGGCAGCAGCTCCCCGGTTGTGTGTAGCACAGATCTGTATGTTCTCAGCCTTTGGGACAATGGCAAGGAAGACAGACTGTATTTAAAATATGAACTGCTCCTCAGCAGAAATATGGCTATTAATGTGATATTTATATGCATGATAACGGTGATATTTATTAATAACTGTCACTCATAATGGACATGTTTTGCAGAAACACATTTTGATCCATCATTCTTTGTCACCTGATTGCTGTTGCTAACTGCCATGGCTTTGTGATTTGCTGCTTTTGGATATCATAGATCACTTGAGTCACATACGATTGTCATAGTCCTGATGAAGCACTGTAGATTTTATGAACCCTTCTCTCCTTGAGAAATACATTCAGGTAAATTCAGATTTTTAACAGCTACCTCTAATTTATAATCTCTTCACAATCTGGTAAATAAAAGTTCTTCACAACACAAAGAGAAATTTCAGCAGGTGCCGTCCCAAAACCATTATTATCATCACCATTTCATTACTGCAGTGGTAGTGTCTAAAGATCAGAACACCACCGGAAAGCACCAAGCAGTTAAATAACAACCATATCCCTACCTTAAAGAGCTTATATCTGTGCACAGCAGTACAAACAGGTAGTCAAACATACAGATTTTGTTTGCATTTAATGGAGATAAATGAATGAGGAAACACAAGAAAACTAACGATGATGCTGGGGGAGGGGGGAATGTTTCCACTGACACAATCAAATACAATGTACTTCATTCAAATTGTCCAGCAGAGAAAACTTACACATTCACTTGACTCACCCGATGTGTGCTGATTGCAGTATTCTCCATGTTGGTTTTGTTTTGCTGCATTTATCAGTCCTCATCTTCAGGGTGCTTTTTCCTGCTTCGTCCCACCCCAGCACCAGAGAACCCACCCCCCTGCTGCAGTGATGCACAAAGGAACCAGAGCTGCGGCCTGTAGCCTGGCCTGAATTGGCTGGATAGCTCCTTCTTTTTACCCAAGGAATTGAATAAAATTGCAAACTATTTCTACAAGGAACCAGAATTGAGGGCTGTTATTTTCCAAGTATGTAAATCATTCCCCAGCAACACACACTGTTGCAGGCCATGACTCCTTCCACCCAAAGCTTCATGTTTTGTTTTTTTTTATTGTGTTTTCATAGAAAGCACCTTCTTTGTGTCCAGAGCTGAACCTTGGTGGTTTCCCTCTTCAAGGCAAGGTTGGACAGGGCTTTGGGAAACCTGGTCTAATGGAAGGTGTCCCTGCCCGTGGCAGGTGGGTTGGAAACAGATGATCTTTGAAGGTCCCTTCTAAGCCAAACCATTCCATGATTCCATGATTCTATGGTTCTATGAAATACGCAGCAGCTACCACACCTTTCCTTCCTCCTGAGGTTTTTCCATCAGAGCATTAGGAAACATGTCAGATCCCAGGGTCCAAACTCATCACTTTATCATAGAATTACAGAATGGTTTGGGTTGGAAAGGACCTTCAAAGATCTAGGCCAAGCCCTCAACCATGGGCAGGGACAGTCTCTACTAGACCATGTCACCCAAGGCCCTGTCCAGCCTTGACTTGAATGCTGCCAGGGGTGGGACATCCACAGCTTCTCTGGGCAACCTGTGCCAGAGTCCCGTGGCCCACATGCAAGAGTTTTCCACTATGTCTACCAAGGGCAGAATTCAGTCTTCCCTTACTCCCCAAAAGAAAAAGCAACTGCCATAGCCAAAAGTTCTGCATGTTGATATGACTGCTCAACCCCGAGCACACAAAGGACTCATTCATTCTCTTTCTGTGTGGTGGTGTTTAGAATGCACAGAGTCAAAACACACAGAGCAGGCCCACGTCCAGCCCTTGGGTAAGGTACTGGCCCCTAGGAGCAGAATATGTAGGGTACCAAGAAAGATAAACACTATCTTTACTACTTCTGTCACATCAGTTTTGACCTGGGAGGAAGCTACCTTTGGACCCAGCACCAGAGCCAACTCAGGGAGAGGGAATGGCTAACATGGCTGTTCAGCTTTAGGTAAGCACTAAATAGCATAGCAACCAGAGGACTATCTCACAGGCTGCACGCACTGTGTATCCACTCTAAAATTACAATGTCCTTTGAGCTATCAAACATCTTTAATAGGATGAGGTTTGCACTGAGCTATACCTGAATGTAAGCTTCCAAATTGTGCTGTGCTTTGAGCTTCATACTTCAAAAAGGCAGAGGAAGCCCTTAAAATTAAAATTCTTGCTCTGTTTTATATTAGCAATTAATACAGAGCTCAGTGAATGAAAACAACATTGAAAAATGAAAAAATGCTTCATTGAATTAAATTATGCAAATTTCTTTAATGGAAAAGCATGCTTGCTTTATCGGAGCCCATATTGCCTGCTCTACGGTCATGTTCTGAACCAGACTAATTGCCCTTGATTCTGCAGTTTAAAGAAAGGCAGGGATGCACACAGCTGTCAATGTAAATTACAGATTTAATGAGATTAAAACACATTTACCGCCTCAAAATCTGCACCGTGTTGTGCAGCAGCTCAGTGAGTGACAGACACGCAGCCCTGCTCCCGCCCGAGCTTGACAACATCAGGAGAGGCAGGTTTCTTGCTGGAGTGCTGAAGCATGGTTGTGCTAATGCTGCTGCTCCTTTTCCATTTAATCAGGCTATCTCCTACAAGATGACAAGTAAGCAGGGCAGGAATTGAGGTGGATGTGCATGGACATATATTGGGTTCACAGCAGCAGTACTGGTCTAAAAACGTGTCCCCTAGATGATAAGGGTCTCTGAAACAAATTCAAACATGCGGAATTGCTGTGTATATGCACAAGGTGCACAGTGAATAGAAAGACAAATGACCTTCCCCTCTACTTGTCCTTATAGGAAAGGTGATTATTTGGGAACACAGTGATGGCAGAGAGTGCTGTTCTGGAATAGCTTATTTGCCTAGAACAGCAATAGTCAACTTGCCATGTAAGACAAAATAATCCAAGAGCTCACATGCTCTATCTAAAGGAAAGACTTCCATAAGAACCCAATTCTCCGTATGTGCTTTCCATATCAGAAACAAAAGGCTGCTCAACAAGCGTGGATCTTGGCATGCTTCAATATGAGACTTTAGTGACTATTTATGCAGTAATAATTTCAATGATACACATTTCTAGTATCACCAAGATAAGATACCTGCAAAATGGCAAATGGTTGTCCTTCCTTCTATTCTTTTGGGCTGAAAACAGTGTGAGAAGCTTCCCTTTTCTTACCTACAAAGTAGATTTGTTGCTAGAAGAGCTGGATTTCTATTTGAAAGATGAATAAAACCTCTAGATCATCAAGTCCAACTCTCTGCTCTTGCAGGATTTTAGTTGGAGAGTTGGAGCTTGGCTTTATTTTTCCTCTTGTTCTTCGGTCTCAAAACACCAAAGGTCAAAGGTGTGCCATTACTGTGAATTCTTGCACAAATAGGGAAGACTCAGTCCCTGTGTATTGTCAGCATCATGATTATTTTGCTAAGAGCCTGTGGACGTTTTAAGTGGAGAAACTTAAAAGTTGGGTTACTACTGCCAGCTTCAAATATTTACATGGCATGAGTCAGATTCCCCCAAATCCAAACAAACAATTCTATTTCAATAGCAGCAACTAAGGAGCCCTCTTGACTTCAGCTGTTATTATTCCTTGGATCACATTTTCTCTGCAAGCACAAAGGCAGGAAACTTACTTTCTGTAAAAGGTAAGACCCTCACCTCATCTTACATCTCCAGAACACACAGGTCTGAAAGCTCCCAAGGTGACTAAAAACAATCACAGGCATACTGCTAAACAAACTTGTCTCCAAACACTGCTTTGGTTTCCAAGTGCATTGACTTGTCACCTGGGTAAGGATTGAGTTTCTTCTCTTTTCTTCAGTACTCTTCTGTTTCACATACAGGGGAAAAAGCAGTGTTTTTCAGCGGATAGTGTGATAATATCCTCGCAAGTGGGTCCACAGTCTCTTTTTCCCCTTTGAAATGCCTTAGATTATATTTTCAAGTTAAAAAAATGCCAGGGAAGGAAACTTCTTCAGAAGTGTCCTTTGAGTCAAAGATAAAAGCGATGCCCAGCAGGTATAGGCTACCAGTAGTGAAAGAGATGAACTCGAGCAGAAGCTGTGAAATTCACTCCCTCTGGTTCTGCTACTGTATAAGACTGCACCATTCTCTACTCATAATCTTTTCTTTTTTTTTTGGCACCTTCCCCCCCCCCTTCACTGGCTGTACCATAAAAAAGTGCAATAAATCTGCTTGTGAACCTGCCTGATTATCCTGCTGTTTATGATGTTTTCCCCACAAACAGGGCTTAGACAACCAATGCAGTGACCCAAGCTCCATCAAAAAGTGGTATGTCTGGATGCCTCTGGAGCAGATGAAACGCATCCCAAGGCTGTGGGAGCAGGCACCAGCTTGGACCTCAGGAAGGCAATCTTCAGCTTTGAGGTTTAGCAATGATCTTCTGATATATCAGTGAGCATTCAAGATCTTCTGCCTTGGTAAATCTGAGCTTTTTGGAAAGTCACTGGTACTCTGTGGAATTACACATCTGAATGCAATGCTATGAATGCAGAAAATGTTAAGATTCTTTTGCAGAAGGGGGAAAATTGACCTGGAAAGGCAGGGTAAGTATCCAGACCAGGTACTAAGAGATCCGCCGGTGGTGAGAGGAGTGTTCCTGAGAAACCAGCTTTTATCTCCTGCAAATTTGTATTATCATTTCAGCCCATATTCCTCATTTGCCCTCATGCCAAGCATGCTGATTCCTACTTTAATTTAAACCTGGGGCAAGCCAAGGAGACAAGTTCAACCACAAGTCTGTGTCCCTGACTCTGTAATGCAATCTCCAGCTTCCATCAGAAAGCCAGGTACGCAGAGGGGAGTGACACCCAGCCACAGACACACATCTGGTAGGGCAAATCATAATGCCAGATTCACTGGTGCTGCAACATAAAATTAATGTTGCACTTTCAAGGGTCCTTTAATGGACATCAGGAAGGAAAAACTGTTCTTGTCTGGGTAGATAAATCAGCTTTTAGAAACTAGCTACATTCCTAGCACATCTCTAACCCACAGTCGTTTGAGATCACTGAGAACCAGATCTTCTACTTCTCATCTGTAACTCCAGAAGCATTTACAAAGAAAGCTGGTGTCTTCCTGTCCCCCTCTGATACCTGGTAAACCTGAGTTTGGAAGATCAAATTATTTTCCCCACCATCTAACAGTCCTGCGGCAGACTGAGTCTCCTTGGCTCAGCTGCTGGGTTCCCAGCTACCTGTACGACTGCTCAGACCATGGCAGTTTCATTGTGTTATCTGAGAAGCTGTAATAAAATAGCTTATTTCCATGCTTTCTAAGTCACCTGCGCTTCATGCACCCCTACTGTGCCAGTATTGCAGGCAGAAACCTAATAAGCCTGTGCCAACTCCTGCATACTCAAACAGTAGCCAAACAATACCATAACCCCTAGATGCAAAGTGCCTTTAACACACTTCTAAGTTAACTAAATGTTGCTGATGTTTTCTGATAAAAAAAAGAGCCCTATAAACTATTCCCAGTGGCACAGTACTGATCAGGGAGAAGTGTGTCTCAAGGCAACTCCTTTACACTGAAGTTTTATATCAAGAATATGCTGAAGCTTCACCATAAATAATTAAATATGTTTCTAAACTATTAATGCAGTTTGTTGACAGCTTCTGTTTTGCTTACGGTGGTTCAAAGATGTTGACTGTAGGCAAGTATAGATCTTATCTCTGATGAAAAGAAAGCTTTGAAAATAGTCTAACACCTCTGCAGCTGAAAGTCTTTCTCTAGACAGGGACTTCTAACTGAAGTGTGCTGTCTACAAGGCAGCACTCCTAAGGAGAAAGATCTAAAGATCAAAACAGAGAACAGTAACATCACAGCACACAAATCTGTTTGGTGTTTGGCCAACTAATGTCAGCCACTTACACAATGACAGAAGTTTGATGCTATCAGGTCACTTCCAGAAATCTGCTTGTCTAGATAGAGATGGTCTGAAGCAGCAATTGACATTATTTCCAAACTAATATCGAAA